CAAGTCTATGTTTGGGTTCATTTTTCTTTGCATAATCCAGGGAATCATAAATCATGCCAAAGCCAGTTGTCTTGCCACCACCAAAATGAGTTCTGAATCCAAATACAAAGATGCCATCCGGTGTGGTCTTGTACATTTTGGCTAGTTTTTCCCGAATTTCTGTCTTAGGCACTGTTGCATTCCCGGGGTGAAGGACATCAATGACCATTTGTTTCCTCTGAAGCAGTCGGTTGGTCATGAACTTTCTAGTGCGGATAGTTACTGTGTCGTTCATGATGGCGGCCTATCCTTACACAGCCGGGGAGGAAAAAAGCACTGAGACGGGTCTTGCTCTCTCACTTAGGCTTCATTGCAGTGGTGGGATCATAGCTCACTGCAACTTCAAATTCCTGGGCTGAAGTGATCCTCCTGCCTCAGGCTCCCGAGTGGCTAGGACTACAGGCATGTGCCACCATGACCGGCTAATTTTTTTTCCCTTTTTTTTTTAGGGATGGAGTCTCAAACTCTTGGCTCAACCTATCCTCCTGCCTCAGCCTCCCAAAGTGTTGGGATTACAGGCATGAGCCACTGTGCCCAGACTGCATTAGGCTTTTGGATGCAAGTCCCATCTACCTGTGCACGCCACAGCTGCTCAAAGATAGGGGCAGGCTCCTCGGGGCCTCACGCAGGGGAGGCACACAATCTTAATGCATACAGAGCATCTTCATGTCCATTTTCTCATTCAGCCCTTACAGTTGCCACAGGTGAGGAAACTAAGTCTAAAGAGTGTAGGCCAGGGCCGGGCGCGGTGGCTCACGCCTGTAATCCCAGCACTTTGGGAGACCTAGGTGGGCAGATCACAAGGTCAGGAGTTCAAGACTAGCCTGGCCAATATGGTGAAAACCTGTCTCTACTAAAAATACAAAAATTAACCTGGTATGGTGGCACTTGCCTGTAGTCCCAGCTACTCAGGAGGCTGAGGCAGGAGAATCGCTTGAACCTGGGAGGTGGAAGTTGTGGTAAGCCAAGATCGTGCCGTTGCACTCCAGCCTGGGTGACAGAGCAAGACTCCATCTCAAAAAAAAAAGAGAGTGTAGCCCAGGTCTGCCCAAAGGAGGTATTGCAGTTGTCTCAGCACTTCTCCTGGTCTGGCCTCTTGGTGAGTGGGCCTGATGAAGAATGACTTTTTTTTTTTTTTTTTTTTTTTTTTGAGATAGAGTCTTGCTCTGTTGCTCAGGCTGCAGTGCAATGGTGCCATCTCAGCTCACTGCAACCTCAGCCTCCTGGATTCAAGCGATTTTCCTGCCTCAGCCTCCTGAGTAGCTGGGACTACAGGCATGCACCACCACGCCCAGCTAATTTTTTTGTATTGTTAGAAGAGACAGGTTTTCACCATGTTAGCCAGGATGGTCTTGATCTCCTGACCTCATGATCCGCCTGCCTAGGCCTCCCAAAGTGCTGGGATTACAGGCATGAGCCACCATGCCTGGCCAAGGAGAACCACAATTCTTGGCTGAACCAATTCAGCCACTGGAGTCCTGCTTTCGTTTCCCTGCCCCAAACTGCCATCCTGGCTGTGGCACCATTCTTGCCAATCTCCTTCCCAAACCCATCACCCTGCAGGGGCTAGGCCTGTCCCTGACCCTCAGTGACGAGCAGGGGTCCTGTAAACATACAATTCACCACACATTCCCTTGGTCTCACCTTCATCTTTTTCTCAGCTCAGAGAGATCTTTTATGGAAAGGAATTTAGGCAGCTTTCTTTTTTTTTCTTTTTTTTTTGAGACGGAGTTTCGCTCTTGTTACCCAGGCTGGAGTGCAATGGCGTGATCTCGGCTCACCGCAACCTCCGCCTCCTGGGTTCAGGCAATTCTCCTGCCTCAGCCTCCTGAGTAGCTGGGATTATAGGCACGTGCCACCATGCCCAGCTAATTTTTTGTATTTTTAGTAGAGATGGGGTTTCATCATGTTGACCAGGATGGTCTCGATCTCTTGACCTCGTGATTCACCCGCCTTGGCCTCCCAAAGTGCTGGGATTACAGGCGTGAGCCACCGCGCCCGGCTTTTTCTTTTTTTTTGAGACAGAGTCTCACTCTATCACCCAGGCTGGAGTGTGGTGGCGCGATCTTGGCTCACTGCAACCTCTGCCTCCCTGGTTTAGGCAATTCTCTGCCTCAGCCTCCTGAGTAGCTGGGATTACAGGCATGTGCCACCATGCCCTGGTAATTTTTTGTATTTTTAGTAGAGGTGGAGTTTCAGCATCTTGGCCAGGCTGGTCTTGAACTCCTGATCTTGTGATCCACCTGCCTTGGCCTCCCAAAGTGCTGTGATTACAGGCATGAGCCACAGACTTATTTTTAAAAAGCCCCCTCCCCCTTTAAAGATGACTTTCAAATTTTAGATTCAGCCAGGCATGGTGGCTCACACCTGTAATCCCAGCATGTTGGGAGGCTGAGGCAGATCACTTGAGGCCAGGAGTTCGAGATTAGCCTGGCCAACATGGTGAAACCTCATCTCTACTAAAAATATAAAAAAATTAGCCCGGCACAGTGGTGCACACCTGTAATCCCAGCTACTCAGGAGGCTGAGGCACAAGAATTGCTTGCACCCAGGAGGCGGAGGTTGCAGTGAGCCAAGATTATACCACTGCACTCCAGCCTAGGCAACAGAGCCAGATTCTGTTTCAAAAAAAAAAAAAATTGTTTTAGATTAAAATTTCTTATGAAAATATGTTTTTCTATGAAAAAGTTGTATGTACCATAAAAGCGTGATTTATAATCATAATTCTCATTAATGTAATTTACTATGTGCCAGGTACAGTTTTAAGTCTTCTATATATTACACATTTATTTAATTCTTGCAGAAACCCTGCAAGTAGTTATTACTATTGTTCCCATTTTAAGATGAGGAAACTAAAGCACAGGAAAGTTCATTGACTTGCCCAAGGTCACGGAAACATAAAACAAGGGGGACAAGGTCCAAATCCAGGGTGTCTGGCTTCAGGGTCTCTGTCCTTCATCAGTTGTGCTCAGAAGAGCCCTTACACATTTAGAAAAGGGGCTCCTGGCCAGCTCGGTGGCTCATGTCTGTAATCCCAGCACTTTGTGAGGCTGAGGTAGGCAGATTGCCTGAGCTCAGGAGTTTGAGACCAGCCTGGGCAACATGGCGAAAACCTGTCTCTACTAAAAATACAAAAAAATTAGCCAAGCATGGTGATGGGTGCCTGTAGTCCCAGCTACTCGGGAGGCTGAGGTAGGTGAATCAATTGAACCCGGGAGGTAAAGATTGCAGTGAGCCAAGATCACACCACTGCACTCTAGCCTGGGTGACAGAGTGAGGTTCTGTCTCCAAAAAAAAAAAAAATTTTAAAAAAGGAAAAGAAAAAGAAAAGGGCTCTACTCCTTATAAAAATTCACCCTCTTATGCCTTCAGAGCATAAGCTTGACAGACGTCTCATTGTCAGAAATCGCCATTCAAATTTAGCCTTAGCCCTTTGCCCGGACATCTCTTAGTAAGTGGAATTTGTTAAAACTGGTTCAATACTATTTAAGTGTCAAGTATGGAAATGACAAGAATTATTAACTGTTTCAGTGACAAGTATACTTTGTGAGGTTTAAAATAAATATGTTGGCCAGGCACAGTGGCTCACACCTGTAATCCCAGCACTTTGGGAGGCTCAGGTGGGAGGACGGCTTGAAGCCAGGAGTTTGAGACCAGCCTGGGCAATATAGCAAGAAGCCATCACTACAAAAAACCTTAAGAATTAGCTGGGTGTGTAGTGCATGCCTGCTGTCTCAGCTACTCAGAGGCAGAGGTGGGAGTATCACTTGAGCCCAGGAGTTCAAGGCTACAGTGAGCTATGATCGCACCACTACGCTCTAGCTTGGGCAACAGAGCGAGACCCTGTCTCCAAAAATAATAAATCAAATAAAAAGAAAATACAGGCTGGGTGCAGTGGCTCACGCCTGTAATAATCCCAGTACTTTGGGAGGCCGAGCAGGTGGATCACAAGGTCAGGCGTTCAAGACCAGCCTGGCCAATATGGTGAAACTCCATCTCTACTAAAAATACAAAAAATAGCCAGGCGTGGTGGCGCACACCTGTAATTCCAGCTACTCGGGAGGCTGAGGCAGGAGAATCTCTTGAACCTGGGAGGCGAAGGCTGCAGTGAGCTGAGATTGCGCCACCACACTCCAGCCTGGGTGACAGAGCAAGGCTGTGTTTCAAAAAAAAGAAAAAATGCAGTATTTCAGATTTGTGAATTTTGATGTCCCTGGGGGTCCTGGAACCAATCCCCTCAGATACCAAAGATGACTATATATTATAACTACATGTGTGTCAAAACCACCTAAGGACCTAAACTCAGTCTTTCATAGTCAGAGTGCCCTTCAGGGAAATGATGATGCCAGCGTAGTTTTTTGTTTTGTTTTTTTGAGGTAGAGTTTCACTCTTGTTGCCCAGGCTGGAGTGCAATGGCTCAATCTCTGCTCACGGTAACCTCCACCTCCTGGGTTCAAGTGATTCTCCTGTCTCAGCCTACTGAGTGGCTGGGATTACAGGTGCCTGCCACCACACCTGGCTAATTTTTGTATTTTTAGTAGAGATGGGGTTTCACCATGTTGGCCAGGCTGGTCTTGAACTCCCAACCTCAGGTGATCCACCTGTCTGAGCCTCCAAAAGTGCTGGGACTACACTGCGCATGGCCCAGCGTACAGTTGAGTATGTGAAAGTATGTATGGTATGTGTCCCTCACAATTCACTTAGGCCCAAAGGTGACATGGGACAAGGACAATCCTAATGGGGCCCTCAGGGTTGAGGCCGTCTCCCCTGTCACACTGGGAGGTCCCTGAGAGACTTCCCCACCCCAGCGGGTCATCAGGCATAGCAGTCTACATTCTCCAGTGCCTTCCCCCAAAACCACCCCCCAGCTCCTCATCCAGGACCCTACTGAAAAGGGGAGCTCAGATGGTGTGGAAGAGACCACCAGACAGCAGGTCGAAGAAAAACACATACTCAATAAATTTAATTCTCTGCCCAGTTTATTCATTCTGGGTTGGTCCAAAGGCTGGGTTTACACACTCGATATGCAAGAGCTACAGACAAAAAGTCTTCAGGGCCCACCCCTCACCGCTGCTCCCTGGACCTTTCGCCCACCCACCTATCACGGACAAAACTCTTTAGAGATAGACAGGAAGAGCTCTCCCACTTTGCCGACAGGGAGACTGAGGGCCAGAGGCTGCATCAGTGACTTCCATGCCACTGTTCACTCGTCAGTGTCCCCTCTTCATACCACTGCTCACCCACCAGGATCCTGCATTCTCTTGGCTCCCAGGAACAAAGCAGAGAGCTCAGCTACCTGATGCGTTGATTCTAAGACTCACCCACTCTGTAACTCCTGCAGCCCACCAATCCCTGTCTGAAGGGCCATGCAGTGAAAGAAGGGGTTAAAACTCAGCGTCCTAAGCATTTCCAGAGGTTTAGGTTGACACCGTCCCCTTCCTGTCCCAGAAAGCCAACCTCTGGCTCATCTTGAGCGTCCGACTTCAGAGAAATGGACCAAACCAATTCGACATCCAATGCTGCTAAAGCCAGAGAGGCACAGCAAGGTAGAGGCACAGACAGGGAAGTGATATTTTCCTCATCAGCCTTGGAACATCGTGCCTGTTACTTGCAAACTTATACACATACATTGCTTTTCATCAGAAGCTTAAATCAACAGGGTTTGCCACAGCTCCTTTCCCAGTGGAGAGGTGGTTTGTTTGGGAACTAGTATTTTAGAATTCCCATTCTCCTGTTCTTCACAGGGTTCCACTATTACCATCTCCCTTGTCCCCATCTCCCATGTGCCCAAAGGCAGAGTTCAAGAGGGACAGTCCCCTATGTCCTTCTCTGTCCCCAACACCACCATCATCTCCATCACTAGTCCCAGTTCCCCTTCCTGACACCAGTTCTCTGCCCACTGCCTGACAAAATTGCAGCCAAAATGCCATGGCAGGCCAGAGTAGCCACTAAACCTCCTACAGCAAAGCCAACATCAGGGAAAATAGCCATAGCTCAGCAAGTCTGGGTTTAGTGAGGGAAAAGGAGAGGAGAGGTGGCCTGTAAATCCCAGGAGAACGGATCAGCCACAACCCTCAGATAAATGACAGCATGCTAGCCCTCTGTCTAGTGGATCCAGTGGAGAAGAAAGGCTGGGGTAGACCACGAGGGACACAAAGTGTGGATGGACACTCCACGGGTACCGCTGGATATATATTTGCACACACTTGCTCATGAGTCTGCCTGCAAACACACATGCTCCTTATACTTCCCATGCCTGCGCCCCCACCCATGCACGCCTGCGCCCCCACCCATGCACCCCTGCACACGAGGGCTCCCTCCCGTACACCCAACAAAAGCCTGCACGCTCAAACCCACTCATACACACACACATATTCTGCATATACATCCTCACTCATGTGCACATACACATACTGCTGGGTACCTGTCTACACACACATATACAGATTTCTTCATTCTTCTTACATACTACACACACATATGTTCAGTGTTACACACTTACATGTAGGTCTGCAGATAAGTTAGCTTGTGTGTACACATGTACACACAGCACTTAAGCTCATTTATACATGCTTATTCACACATGCCTACACACACTTGCCTACATGTTAGCACGTTCACACTCATGCCTACCTGCAATCATGCCAGCAAATAATTATGTACTTACTAGGGCACAACCTCGCACATGCCTGCAAATATACACACATACCCTTGCACATTTGTGGAGGCACACCCTTAGCCCTGGTCCTGGGGCCTGGATGGTGCTGCCCTCTGCTGGAGACAGCGAATAAGCTCCTTCCGGTTGTCTAGGATGGTGTCGAAGCTCTCCTGCAGTCGGGCCTGCTGATCAATCAACTGATGCTGCAGGCCCCGGATCCACTGCAGCAGTGCCAGGCGACGGTACATCACCAAGTGCACGTGGTGCTTTTCCTTCTCCTGCTCTTTGTAGCGCTCCTGAGCTTGCAAGTGCTGCACAGCCTGGGCCACTGAGGGCAGAAGGGGATCAGGAGGGCCAGGGCCTCTCAGAGTCCCACAGGCAGGCTCAGGACTGCTGCTAGGGCTGTCGATGCTCAGGGAACTGCTGGCATAGCCGTTGTCCTCCAGAGGGGAGCAGACTGTGCCAGCACCACCCATCTTCTCAGGTTCAGCCCCGGGAATCTCTGCCCCCTCTGGGGGGCTACGCACCCCTTCCTCAGGGGACCCAGGGGCCTGGAAGGCCTGGTTGTCAGAGGGCGACTCAGAGGAGCTCCTCATCAGGATCGGTTCCACTCTGCCTGGCATCCCATGCCAATTCTCATTAGCATCCTTGGCACTTGCCATGAAGTTGGAGTTGCTGTCTGGTTGGAGCTCGGGCTGACATACTCCAGGAGGCGGGTCCCCCAGGAATTGCCCCCCCTCAGGTAGCCCTGGCTGGATGGCGAACATCTGGTCTGTAAAGGGAAAGCAGGAGACTGAGTCACAGTAGGACAGGGTGGAGTGCCTGAAGTCAGGGCAACTTAGCTGCAGGGACGAGGCTGCGAGCAAGAGCCTGGCCACTCCCTGTCAGGCCCTTTCTTGCCTCTGGTAGCACTTCCCTTTGTGGTTTTCATCCTCCCTGTTCATCCATTTACCTGTTCATTCTCTGCCTCCTGCAGAGGGTTTTTCCTCAGCCTCAGAGCCAGGCTGTCTTCTCGTTTTGTGCATTTCTCTCCAGATGACCTCATTCTCTGCTGTGGCTTCAAGGACCATCATATGCTGATGACTCTCAGATCTGTCTTCAGCCCAGATCTAACTGTTATCCAACTCTGCAACCAACCATAAGCTCCTCAAATTCTTTTTAACCAGTCTGAGTGCAGTGGCTCACCTGAGGTCAAGAGTTGAAGACCAGCCTGGCCAAAATGGCAAAACATCATTTCTACCAAAAATACAAAAATTAGCCAGGCGTGGTGGCAGGTGCCTGTAATCCCAGCCACTTGGGAGGCTGAGGCAGGAGAATCGCTTGAACCCAGGAGGCACAGATTACAGTGAGCTGAGATTGCACCACTGCACTCCAGCCTGTGTGAGGGCAAGACTCCGTCCCCTGCCTCCTCCCCAAAAATTCCACATAACCAAACTCTCCTTCTCCAGTATCCTCAGAAAAATGGCTCTGCCCTCCATCCAGAAGGCTGGGAGCTTCCTGCGCTCCTCACTCTCCTTCCTTCTCCCATCTCATTGACAACCACATTCTGACCATTCTTCCTCTTCCAGGCCATTTCTGACTTGGATTATTGCCACAGCGTTTTCACTGATCTCTCTGCTTCCAGTTAAAAATGTAAATTTGACTTGTCACCGCTCCAAGTGCCCTCTCTGAACTCCTGCTAAACCTCTACGTGGCCTACAAGGCCCTGTTTGATCTGGCCCCTGCTCGCCCCTCCACACCTGCCTCTTACCACTCTGCCCCTCCCATCATAGCAAACCGCCCAGAGATTTCAAAACACAGCACTGTTCTTCTTACACTATTCCTCTGGCCTTCAATATCCTCTCCCCTCAAAGCTCCTCCCTTCACCCGGCAAATTCCTTTTTTGTACTTCAAAGCTCAGCTGTAATATCCCCATGTCTCCATGTCCCCATGTCTATGAAGCTGTCTTGATACTGCCCCAATATTACATAAACAAGCATGGTTACTTATGCCTTCCTCTGGATCCCCATTGCCCTGGGTACACACTGTCTCATCCAGCTTTGTGTCTGTCCCTGGCATACATGATGGACGATCAGCGAATGTTTATTCAACTGGCATTTTTGCTTTGTTGTAATGATCTTGTAATAGCAGTTTATAATCTGGTTTGGACCTCCTCTATATATCCTGCGTTACATTCTCCAGAGCCAGCATAGAGCTCGGAACCAGGCTATCTGCATATAGGCACTTGCTGAGTGAAGGAATGGAAGAAGAGACTGCAGTGAATTTCCATACTCAGTAAGCTACTGCCGACTCCCCAGGGCTGGAAGAGCTGGGTTGTGGAAGAGCAGGGTTCGGTTCCCTCTCTGCTCCAGGGAGCCGGGCCTCCCCCAGTGACAAGTTTTTCTTCTGAGCCTGCCCCCTTCCCTCCCAATGCCCCTGGAACAAGGCCACTATCTTGTGTCCCTGTCCCTAGCTTGCGCCATCCTGATGCCCTGGAGGGAAGGCATGTCACACCACTCTTCTCTCCCGGGTAACCAGCTTCTAACCAAAATTAGGGTTTGAATTGGCAAAGGGATTCTACTGACCAAACAGCACTGGGATTAGAACAATTGACGAGCATGAAGGGAAAGGATACTATAAATGGAGCTGGTACTGGGAGGCGCTCCATAGGTAGCAGGGACCCTCCCCTCCTCCAGCAATGGGCAGAAGTCCTGGGGAGAAGGGTGTGGGAACAGTTCCTTTGTTATCACCCTTTAGGCAAGGCTTGTGGGAAGATGCCTAGAGATCTCCCCTCACCCTAATGCTTTCTTTTTTCCCATACTTGGATGAAAGCCGGGATGGGGTGGAGGTGGCGCTAGGGATCACAAGGTTCTTACAGATAGTAAAATGGGAACCCCGACACCCCAGGAGACAGAGCCCAACCTTCCCTAGTCTCCGCGAAGAGGCAGCTGTGACTCCCCGCTTCCCGCGGCTGGGCCCCAAGCCCTCCCCCTCCGGCCCCAGACTCGGACTCACGGCCTAGAGGCGCCGGCTCCGGCGCGTCTGGCTCTGGCTCCACCCGGCCCCGGCGATGTCCAGTCCCTGGGCTGGGGGTTCCTCGGCCTGGGCGTCTCCGCGGTCCAGGCGTGGGTGCAGGGCTCCAGGGCAGCGCGCCCAGCCCCAGGCGGGGACTGCGGAATCGGGCGGCGTCTGCGCGGCGGGGCGGGGCGGCCGGGCCCACGTGGGCCGGTTCGGTTTTCCCCGGAGCCGCGCGCCTGGCCCCTGCGCCGGAACTGCCTCGCCGCTGCGCGGGGCCGCCTTGACCCAGGCCTCCCAGGTCCGGTGCTCGCTCCTACTGGCATTCGCTGGGCCCTCCCGATCAGTTCGCCTCACTGCAGACAGCGTGCGATTTTCAGGTGAAATCTGATTAGTCACCACCTTCTGGCCTTAGACCCCTCAACGGCTTTCCCACTGCCGGGATATCCCCTAATGCGGCAGCCGCGGGGCTCTGCGCTTCCTGCCCTCTGTCTGCCTCTCCCGCCTCGTCCTCTGCTGTCCCTCTCCGCGCTACCCTCCAGCACGCCCCTTTCCGCTCTTCCCCCTCTCCACTTACTCCTTTTTCAGATCTCTTCTCAGAAAAATCTGACTCCCTAGACCACATTCGTTTCCCCTTTCATGTCAGGGCACGTTCCTTTCCTTCATAGCATTTATCACAATTTGGAATTATATATTCTTTTTTGTGTTTATTGACTAAAGTCACTTAGTGAAAACTATGTTTTAAGAGAAGACAGAAGAGGCCGAGCACGGTGGCTTACGCCTGAAATCCCAGCACTTTGGAAGGCTGAGGCCGGCGGATCACTTGAGCTCAGGATTTCGAGACCAGCCTGGCCAACATGGTGAAGCCTCGTCTCTACTAAAAACACAGAAACTAACTGGACGTGGTGGTGGGCGCCTGTAATCCCAACTACTCAGGAGGCTGAGGCAGGAGAATCGCTTGAACCTGGTAGGTGAGGGTTGCAATAAGCCAAGATTGCACCACTGCACTCCAGCCTGGGAGACAGGCTCAAAAAAAAAAAAAAAAAAAAAAGAGAGAGAGAAAGAAAGATCTGGCCTAGGACAGGACCCAGAGCTGATGTCCTGTCCTGGGACGGGCGCTGTCCACAGGACACAAAGCCCATCCATGACACCTGGACAGTGGGCACCTGTGCTTTTACCCAGGTAAGGAGGAACAACGTGATAAGAAAGGGTCCTGGGTTCCAAACTCCAGTATATTCTTCTCAGAGGTCCACTCTACTGAAGCTTGACCCCCCTCACTCTTTTGCATCCTGGGGAAATTTGAAGCTAAAGACTCTGTTTGCAATTAAAGAGAACAGAGTAGAGTAATTGCTGACCCTAATAGATGAGGTATCCTCTTCCAGTTTCAACTTGATTCCAAGTCACCATTCTGCAACCTAGAGACTAACTGGCAAATTAAATCACACCAAGAAATCCTATATGCAAAAACAGGGGAAATGGAAAAGAAATGTTTATGACAACTATTTTAAGAGGGAAAAAGAAATAAGAAGGAGAAGGCAGAAGTAATTCAGACTTTGCACACTCCTCTAGCTAAGAAAATACAAGTGGAGACCTCAGCCCCATTTCTATATCAGATCCTGTGGCCTAAGTCTTTTCCCTTCCTTTATTCACTGCAGGTTCTCCTGGCCTTCAGCCTGGGGTGACCCAACCCAGGCTGGAGTGCAGTGGTGCGATCTCGGCTCACTGCAACCTCTGCTTCCCAGGTTCAAGTGATTCTTTTGCCTCAGCCTCCAGAGTAGCTGGGACTACAGGTGCGTGTCACCCACCCAGCTAATTTTTGTATTTTTAGTAGAGATGGGGGTTTCACCATGTTGGCCAGGCTGGTCTTGAACTCCTGACCTTGTGATCCACCCATCTCAGCTTCCCAAAGTGCTGGGATTACAGGTGTGTGCCACCGTGCCTGGCCGATGCTATCACCTTCTGACCTGCAATACCCAGAATCTCAGAGACAGGAAGAAAACTCTTAGTCCTTAGGTACAATCATATAAGGTACCACTTCTACCTTTTCCTATGCATTCTGGCCACAAAGGACAAAGCATTATATACATCGATTTAAAGCCTATATTGGGCCTGGCATGGTGACTCACACCTGTAATCCCAGCACTTTGGGAGGCCAAAGCAGGCAGATCACATACAGCTGGGAATTTGAGACCAGCCTGGCCAACATGGTGAAACCCCATTTCAAAAATACAAAAATTAGCCAGGCCGGGTGGTTCATGTCTGTAATCCCAACTATTCAGGAGGCTGAAGCAGGAGAATCACTTGAACCCAGGAGGTAGGGTTTGGACTGAGCTGAGATCGCACCACTGCACTCCAGCCTGGGTGATAGAGTGAGACTCTATCTCAAAAAAATAAAAAATAAAAAATAAATGAAGCCTATATCATGCTCTGCAGCACAGCACCCCAGCCTGGAATAGCTGAGTCATCAATTCCATTGTTCTAAAAATCTAGTTATTCC